GCCGACGTCACAGCGCTAGCTGGAGGCAGCAAAACAAAGGGGAAACTGGTGGCGGCCCATTCAAACCAGCGCAGATTTGGCTACATAAGGAGCTTAAAATATCATCTTGTTGTGATGTTGGGTGCCAGAATCGACGTGATACAACCTCAAATTAGAAATTTGCTCGGGGTGGTGACTGAAGGCTGTGACTGTGTAGTTCTGACATCAACTTTTTACGGAAGTCACAACGGTTCATGAAAAATCACAGCTACTTTAAGCAGACTGTGTGCATTTTACTGTGGACTGACTGTTTTGAAACTTATATGGTAGTTAAATAGCCCCTAGACCTCAGTTATCATGAAAAAAGCCAGGAGATTTCAGTTTTGACAATATGGGACCTTTAATGTTTATTTTTTTCCTTTTCCCTGTCTTTCTCCTTCCTCTTGCTGAAAGTAACCTACTAACCTAGATTTAGTGTCGATTAAAATATTTCTCTCAGTTCAGTGAAGAGGAAGGGCGTTCCCAAGTTTTCTTCCACTGGCTGCAAGACACAGGCACTTGTATTCATGGTGCTTTTATCTACATTCTCCAATTACATATTTTGAAGGCCACTTTCCTGATGTGGAGGACCATTAGCCTTGAGATTTCTTTGAAAACATTTCTCTGTTTTAATGACGCTCAACCCTCTTAGACACACAAGGCTGACCGCATTTTATTATGAAAGAGAAAAAAAGAATTGGAAAGTGGAAGAGAACATGACAGCTTTCTTGTGGTGTAAGAGCTGCTTTTGTTGGAACAAAATCTGTCAGTTGTTCGTGTAACAAGGTCTGGAGAAGTGGGTCAGTTCAGTTTTAGCTGTGGTCATCGGTGGATCTTTGTGCTTGTGATTCATGTTTTTAATCACTCAGTAATGAAGGCCTTCAGCTCTTTTATAGTGCTCCAATTCAGACAGTGCACTGTGTCCGGGACACTCTGTAAGATTTAAATCAGAGGTGGAGACCTGAAACTGAAAAACCTTAAACTACAAATCAGTCATTTTAGTTTTAAATTCACTGTCATATCCAGTATCTCATGCTACTTATAAATAAATTGTAACAAATATCTATGATATTAGCCAGTAAGTATTTTGGTATTTATTATGTATATGTATGTTAATTTCTGAAACTGTTTAAAAAAAAATTATAATAATTTTTTTCAACAATGATGCATTAAATTGTATAAAAATGACACAAGCAAATACATTTGTTAAAATAAATGCTGTCCTTTTGAACTTTCTATTCATCTAAGAATTCTAAAATACTGTATTGTGGTTCCACAAAAATATTTAGAAGCACAAATGTTATCAACATCAATGAAGAAATTTTTCTTAAAGAGTCAATCAGCATGTTAGAATGATTTCTGAAGGATCATGTGACACTGGAGACTGGAGCATTTTCAGCATCATTTTTTTTAACAATTTGCAAACCATTACCCTCAGTTGCCTCACCTCTGCTTTGAATAAGGATCAAGTGCATTCGATAAAACAAACACGTACATGCTGGTCTCTTATAAAATAACTATTGCGTCAATGTCTTATCTACAGTCCTTGGGTTTGTTTATGCGCATACAAACATATAAAACATCAATCACAGCAACTCCGGAAACTGTTATTTCCTCCGTAAGTTTCCACTGTTAATGTTTTGCTGCTGCACTGTGAATTAATGCAATTAATGTCGTGACATAGTTTTATATGACGCAAAACCCCCAATAGGGAAGCAAGTGGCAGTGATGTCTTATGTGGAGTAGATTGCAGGAGACTGAGTATCTGTGGAGGTCTGATCCTTCAGGCTGTTCATGTAATAAAGACATTTAGCCGTTGCCTGTTCTGTGTTTGGCACTCAATGTTCTTTTGTGGCCACTTGTATAAGAGGGCCGTCTGATGTCTGTGATCCCTCCGTTTTGACGTCACTTGCTCGTGGCACATGCTGTCTCCAGGGAAACCTGAGTGAGTGCCCAAAAAAAGAAAAAAGAGGAAACGAGAAGAAGATAAGAGTGGAGTTAGACCTTTGTGCTGAGTCACTGTATGTGAGCTTTCCTTAATGCATGCTTGTGTGCATATTTGATGATCACCAAAAACTATATTACTATATCAGTTATACTAATGGAAAACAGAAATGAATGACCTGATACCCGTTACATCTACCTGAACAATTTTTCCACTGAACGGGGGATAAAGAACTGATGTTTTGACCTTTATCTGAACACCCATAAGGCAAACCTTTTAAATATAATCTGTGTTCTTTTTTGTAAAATATGGTTCTTTTGATGTTACTGTGTTCATTGTCATTGCTGGTTCATGATGACCCTCCTCCCCTCTTTGTTGCTCTGCAAATTAGCATCAAGTGTTCTTAAGCAAAGATAATCAATTTCAAAATCAATGGTCTTTTTGTAATTATTATTTTTCATTATTATTCATGTAGCACCAGTCTTTACTAACAGACTTAAGAGTCCACATCAGTGATCATACGAGTAGTGTGTAGAGACATCTAGTGGTTAGAGCAGAAGTGCCCAAACTTTTTAATATGAAGGGCTAAAATTAGTTGATTGAGGGGTTAAGGCCAAATATAAATGTTGCATTATATCCAACTATATTACTGTATAATTATATTAAATGACAGAAAAATAATAATAAACAAAAATTATGATATTTATTTGTACTAATTCACTTTTTTACATTTACATCAATACAAAAAATATAAAAAATTGTTAAAACAAAAATATAAATTAGAAATAAACATACACTTCAATGTAATTTGATTGATTGATTGATTATTTATTTATTTATTGGTTTAGAGCTCCTCTTGGTGACTATTACCTGTCTTTTCTCCTCAGCCACACATATATGTTTCCAAGGAGCAAGAGTGTTGTGGGTGTGTCAGTACAAACTGTTCTTGTGAATGATTGTGTTTTTGTGTGTTTTGCCTCCAGGCTTCCATTGTTCCAGGCTAGTGCTTTTGCTTTTCTCGCCCCTGCAAGAGCCATCCTTTCACTGGATAAGTGGAAATGTAACGCAACAGGTACATGTCACACACACACGCTCATGTCCCCTCTCAGTCACGCTTAAAAGCGCTAACCTGATTGTCCTGTTTCTCTGCAGCTTTTCCTTTAATAAATGCCACAGAGCTGCCACACACAGAAGACATCTGGTACCCCAGGATACGAGAGGTGTGTTAAAACAAAGAATGAAAGAGATGAGATCAGATGAATTTAATGAGGAACATTAATGTAAAATTGATCAAGGAAGTGATGGTGTGAAACTAATGAAATAAAATGAGGTGACAAGTTAAGGCAGATTGGTTATAACAGGTTTGGCCCATGGATCTGTGTGACCCTAAATGAGATCACAGAAAGGGCTCTGCATTGGCATAAAAAAACATCTATAGAACCACTAACACTGCAAACCTTAAAGGGGTCATATGATGCTTTTTTAAAGATCATTATTTTGTGTATTTGGTGTAACAGAATATGTTGACATGCTTTAATGTTCAAAAAACACATTATTTTTCAAATACTGTACATTATTGTAGGTCCTCTATGCCCCGCCTCTCTCAAACGCTTCGTTTTCTACAAAGTCCCTCCTTCCGACAAGCGCAGTCTGCTCTGATTGGCCAGCTGACCCAGTGCATTGTGATTGGCAGAACACCACAAGCACTCTTCGGAAATGTAACGACCCTTACCATAATCGTGAGCTTCATCTTTCAAAGGGTAGTTAACAAATCATCTTTACATTAAAATTTTATATTGCAATGTATCAAATACATAAATACTTTTTTGTATCATTTTTATAGTTAAAAATCTTAAAATGTGACCGCGGTAACATGAGCTAATTTAAATGTTGATTCAAATAGTTTTACGTGAGTTTTAGCATGTCTTTTAATGTCATACAAATAACAATGTGTATTTAGTGCACTAAAATCAATGGAAAAACAACTGGGGGCAGATTTATGTTCAGAGTGAATATACTGTAAAGACAAGTGAAAACCAGATACAGCAGAAAGAAAGAAAAATGTGTAATTAAATTATAATATTGAATATGTAACTTTGTTTAAAAATGTAACAACTATTATGTACAAATTGAAGCAATAATAACTATAGATTGCACACGCTCACTGTGTGTGACATGAAAATTCAGTTACCTGGACTTTCAGTGGAGGAACTACTATAATATCTTAATTTGTGTTTTGAAGATTAGCCAAAGTCTAATGTGCCTAAAGTGGGTTTGGAACAACAGTAGAGTGAATAAATTATACATTTTCATTTTTGGATGAACTATCCCTTTATCTGTCTTTTAAGAGACTTTTGCCTAAACTGAAGACAAAGCAACTTGAGCCAAATTTGATTAAATGGAGCATTACGCTGTCTGGAGGCCTTTGTCAATGACACTTTTCAACCTTTGATCACTTTTAACCTTTAACTGCTTAGTTTTTTGTTTTGTTTTTTGTTTTTTGCAGATCCCTCCTTATTCGTCTTTTTGTTTAGTCTATATATGTGATCAGATTTAAGCACAATTTCTTTCTCCCTCTCTCTTTGTTTCTGTAGATCCAGGGTGCTATAATAGTCTCGTCTCTAATAGAGGTGATCATAGGGGCCTTGGGTTTGCCAGGTATCCTGTTGAAGTACATCGGCCCGCTCACCATTACCCCTACTGTCACTCTCATTGGGCTCTCGGGCTTCCAGGCGGCTGGAGAGAGGGCAGGCAAACACTGGGGCATCGCCATGCTGTGAGTGCAGTTCTCTCTCTCACACACACACACACACACACACACACACACACACTTGTGTATATATAACTTGTCTGTCTCTGATTTTTTAGTAGCCAAGACTTTATGGTATATATACCTAGCTGAGAAATATACACTTTAGTTAAATTTAACATCTATCATGCGTGTTCTTGTTAAGACTGGAAACTGTTTGCGTGTGTCATGAAGACGTCAGTGGAGAATACACCCTTTCCTGAACTCTATGAAATTAGTCTGAGCACTCATTCCTCACATCCACTTATTACACACACACACACACACACACACACACACACACGTTTGTGTATATAACCGATCTGTAGCTCTGTGGAGCCAAAATGTAAACTCTCTCCCCTCTTTTAAACAGAACCATATTCCTGGTGCTGCTGTTCTCTCAGTATGCACGTAACATCCAGTTGCCGCTCCCCATTTACAAATCCAAGAAAGGTTGGACGTCTTACCGCCTGCAGCTGTTCAAGATGTTCCCAGTGAGTTTCCAAATTAATCCAAGACAAACTCGTCTGTTCATTTCATTCAGGAAATTAGGGAAAATACCTCAAATGTATATAATAAGCGAGTACATCATGAATCCATTTTCCAAATCGTGTTTTTGGCTTATCATGAATCACTACGGTACACCTATGATAAGTATTTATATCCTGACTATTTTAGACTGCGGAGTAGCCCAGTACCTGCGTTCCAATACCAGTGTTCTTCCGCAAGATGCGTGCAGTTCTGTTTATTGACCTCCAAAGTGGCAAAAGTTACAGACTGCATCTTTAAGTATAGTAAATGTAGTATAAATATAGTATATAGGCATATATGCCATTCCATTCAAACATATATTTACTTGCTTGCATATGTTGTTGTTGCCAAACTTTAAAAAAAATTAAATAAAACACACTAGTTGCATAGGAGACGAAATAAGAATATTTATTATTTTATTTTATTATTTTAGTTTTTCTCAGTGCCATTCCATTAAAAATATTTAATTATTTACTTTTTTGCTTACTTGCTTATTTTGTTGCCATTGTTGTGATAAAAATCATTAATAAAAAAACAGAACCTCATAGCAGCTAAAATCAGAATATGATCATTTCTGGTTTTGTTGTTTTTTTTTTACATTCAAGTGATAATCTGTGATCAATTTCAAATTGCAAATGTTGCTTTTTAAATCTATCAGCAGGTAAAGTTGTTGGACACGTGTTGTTCCATATCTCAATAATCAGTGTGTTGCGTTTTTCATTCCAAAATGATCCACATTCTCATTAAGGAATTATCATGATCATTAGCAGTCTGGTGTCTCTAGCTCCCAGCAGCGTGAGCTGGCATTTTCAGAGTCTTGGCACAGCTCGTAATCTGCCGTTAGCTCTGATGACAGCCGTAATTATCATGCTGTTTCAGAGATGAGGTCTTTTTGGCCTGTGTTTTTAAATGGAAGCACAGCAGACAATGACATGGCAATGAAAATGAGTGTGGGAGGCAGATAGAGGCAAGCCAAAATACACAGATTGATCCTTGATGATGAATCGTGAGGGAGTTTCAGCTTGCAGTGTTGTCTGCTTGTTTGAAGGCTAGTGAAGGAGGTTGGATAACATGTCTGGCTTTGTGTTCAGCAGTCTGGGTTATTGATCAGAATTTAGCATGAGAAGAGTTTCTTTTAAGTAACTGGGTTTATCTCTCTTTCTGTCTCTCTGTAGATCATCATGGCGATCCTTGTGTCATGGTTTCTGTGTTTCATCTTCACGGTGACTGACGTGTTTCCTCCTGAGAAGGACAAATATGGGTTCTACGCCCGAACGGACGCCCGACAGGGCATCCTGGCAGCCGCCCCCTGGTTTAAGATACCCTACCCCTGTGAGTGTTGGTTTTGAGTGTTACGTGTGTGTGTGTGTGTGTGTGTGTGTGTGTGTGTGTTTTGGTATTTTCCCAAACTTAGTGAACTGCACATGTTTCTGTACCTCTTTAGGCCAACCTTTGTGAAAACCAAGTACACTTTAGCATACTTTTACAGTACTTATTATGAGTATAATATACCTTTAAGTGTGAACTGAAGGTAATGTTTTAGGAGACCTATTTGTTAATTGCAATTAAATGAAAAGTATTATAGTTTACATTTATATTAGAAGTAATAAGCTTAACTTAAGAGTGTTTTTGACGCACTGAAGTAGGGAGGATTTTTTTTGACCCACCAAAGTATTCAATAAACCTTTATGGGGAAGGAATTTCTGTATGCTAAACCTGATAAGATTACCCATAATGCTTTGTTTTAGTCCAGTGGGGGTTGCCCACAGTGACAGCAGCAGGGGTGATTGGAATGATGAGTGCTGTGGTTGCCAGTATTATAGAGTCCATTGGAGACTATTACGCCTGTGCCCGTCTCTCCTGTGCCCCGCCTCCACCTGTACATGCTATTAACAGGTACAATACAAGGACACAATTGCACATATCAAAACTGATAAGAGATCTATCATGTTTGGTATCCTGAGGCGCTAATTGGAATCTCTTTTTCTCAGAGGGATCTTCATGGAGGGTCTTTCCTGTGTTCTCGATGGCATCTTTGGGACAGGAAATGGCTCCACATCTTCTAGCCCAAATATTGGAGTGCTGGGCATCACCAAAGTAGGATATTTTCCTATTTGGCCTCTGTGATATTTTGTTTGTGTAGTCGCTTACAATGAAGAAATGCCATATTGACTCATAAACTGGTTGTACAGTGCTTGGCTTCAAAGAGCTGGCTGTTAAAAGCACTCACAGAGAGCAGTGCATGTGGCACATACAGTAGCAGCATGTGTTAGACTGGCCTTCAGTGACTGCAGTGGATCATTAGCACCCTAAAGACCTTCAATACGGAAGAGAGCAGCTCTTGAGTTTCCTGTGAGCATCATTAAAATAAGCTCTGGCTGGCTATGTACTCCCAGAGGAACTATTTATTTATTACACATGCAACTGCTACTCATGAGGCTGCTACTTTGATTTGAATACTTTGTTTTACAGTTCCATAGTTACAATTTATCCTGACACATTTACTGCAGAAATTTTGGGGGGGAAAAAACCTTAATATCACAATTACATCAAAAGTTTGGGCTCAGTAAGATTTTTGCTGCTTTGCAAGACATTAATGCTTTTATTCTGCAAGGATGCATTCAATTTAATCAAAAGTGACAGACATTTATAATGTTAGAAAGTTCAAGAGAACAGCATTTCCTTGAAATAGAAATATTTTCTATTTATCAGAGAATCCCCAAAAATATTAGGCAGCCCGACTGTTGATACTAATAAGAAGGGTTTCTCGAGCTACAAATTAGAATGATTTCTGAAGGATCATGTGACACTTAAGACTGGAGTAATGATACTGAAAATTCAGCTTTACCATCACAGGAATACATTACATTTGAAAATATATTACAATAAAAAAAAAGAGTTGTTTTAAATGATAATAATGTCACAATATTATTTTTTTACTGTATTTTTGATCAAAAAATGCAGCCCTGCTGAGCATAAGAGACTTCAAAAACTGACCAAACACTTTCAAATCAGTGTATATTTCAGTTTATCTCACTGTATATTGCGGTGTAATTTAGTAGATCAGTCACAATAAACTGCACAGAAAATCTTTGAGACCTGATTTTATTGAGAATCTTTAACCATGGCATAATCCATTGACATCCATTGCTTTTGATTCCTAATGATAATGCATAAAAAAAGTACATGAAGAGAATCACAGCATTTAATAGCGTTCTCTGATTGGTCGTTTTTTTTCTCTCTGTGTAGGTGGGCAGCAGGCGGGTAATTCAGTATGGGGCAGCACTGATGCTACTTCTAGGAATGGTGGGTAAATTCAGCGCTCTCTTTGCATCATTGCCGGACCCAGTTCTGGGAGCGCTGTTCTGCACTCTGTTCGGCATGATCACTGCTGTTGGCCTTTCCAACCTGCAATTTGTGGATCTCAACTCGTCCCGCAATCTGTTTGTCCTTGGCTTCTCCATCTTCTTTGGCCTGGTCCTACCCAGCTATCTCAAAGGAAACCCTCTAGTCACTGGTAGATACACAAACACGTGTTTGTAAACTCACCACATTGGGAATGATGATTGCTTCTTGAGGGACCAGTGTGGAACCATATTCTTTTCTTCTTTTGTAGGTATAGTGCAGATCGATCAGGTGCTGAACGTTCTGCTTACGACTGCCATGTTTGTAGGAGGTTCAGTGGCGTTTGTGCTGGATAATACTATTCCTGGTAGGTGCAAATCTCATAATGCACTCATACAACTCTCTTCAATCTTTGGTGAAAGTTCATGTCACATTTCTAATTTTTTAATTAACAAAATGCTGGTAAATGTAGTAATAACCTAGGAATGATACAGGCATTTTTTTCAGGCAGTTTTCAATCACCATTTGATGTTGACATTATAACATTAAGAATCTATAGCACTATATAAATTATAGGGCTGCACAATTTGGCAAAAAATGATTCTATATTAATATGACTATACTACTAATACTACTAATTACATTTGAAGTAAAACATTGTTGGCGGAAAACCGCAGGGGAAGCTCTTAAAACTTCTGTTGACTACCGCTGGTTTATTAGTGCTTCTCATTTCAAGTGTGGGAAGATGTGTGGCATGTGCTGCGTTTTCAAATGTGTGTTACAAGCGACCTAAGCAGATGCAGAGATCGCGTTTCTAGAGAACCAAGCCTCTCCGAGAAACTGAAAACCCCAGCTCATAAGCTGCTCATGTGTAAATCAACACAGTGCTGCGCTATGCTGCATATAATTTAATTAAATCAAAGCCTTTGCGATTTGATAATCACACTAAGCCATATCGCAATTTCAGTTTTATTTTCAATTAATTGTGCAACTCTAATTGAAAATATTTATAAAACATTATAAACTTTCGTTGATCTTGTTTTACTTCATTTTCAGTGCATTCCCTGCTTTCCTCTCATTAACTCTTTCTAATCTATTCCAGGCACCCCGGAGGAAAGGGGCATCTGTAAGATGAATCGTGGAAACGGCGTATCTAAACGAGACAGAATGGAGTCTTACGACCTTCCGTTTGGTATGGACTTCCTGCGGCGCCATCGCATTTTCCAGTACCTCCCAATCAGCCCCACTTTCGCTGGCTACCAATGGAGCGTCCTCAGCCACGGCTGCCATAACAGAAGAGAGGACGACATGCCAACAAAGCCAGAACTGGGAGAAAGTGGGGTATAGTTTAGCACCAGCATGCTTTCCATTCCACCCAGAGCTATAAACTCTTTTCATCCTACAATCCTTTAAAAACTCTGTATCCTTTTTGATCGAGTTTGTCATCAACACTAAAATTGGTTCCTAGCTGTTAATACAGCCTCTTAAAACTTTGACAGCGCAGCAACTGAAGGTGTCTCCATGACAACAGCGAGTGGATGCAATGCAGGTTGTACTCGTTCATCTCTCTCTGTGTGGGAGAACGTGAAAACAGAGACTAGTAGATGGAAAAATCACTTTCCGAATTTCCAAAATCAGTGTTCCTTTTTTTTGTCCTGCACTTCTCCGTCTGCATCCGTGTGTAGATAATTGGATGTGTTTGAATTTAAATGACGTACTAATGATGTGTGCCACTATCACACATATTCACAATAAACACAAACACGTTCAATCTCGCTTTATGCATGGCGCAGTTCCGGATCCCGTCAAAGCGAGAGGATCGTTAAAGGTTTACTTAGTGATGCAAGGTTATTGTGCTTTACGTTTGAATTGCACTGCTTGGGTTAACGCACAAAATGTAGTTTGCTTGTTCCTAATTTAGCTTGCTCCGTCTGCATCCGTGTGTAGATAATTGGATGTGTTTGAATTTAAATGACGTACTAATGATGTGTGCCACTATCACACATATTCACAATAAACACAAACACGCTCAATCTCGCTTTATGCATGGCGCAGTTCCGGATCCCGTCAAAGCGAGAGGATCGTTAAAGGTTTACTTAGTGATGCAAGGTTATTGTGCTTTACGTTTGAATTGCACTGCTTGGGTTAACGCACAAAATGTAGTTTGCTTGTTCCTAATTTAGCTTTCGGTGTCCGAGTCTTGCTTCCAAATCCGTAAGTACTTAAATTGAAATGAAAAGTTGAAGTCCCAATGCCTTCAATTTAAGGAAAATTCAGTCATACAAATTAATGTTTTAGTCATCTCGTTTATGTCGTTAGTTAGCTGCTATTCTGATTAATAGCTCATATCGAAAGAAGCGTTTCTTATTAAATGACACCTTGAAATTGTAGCGTGTTTTGGAGGCGGATAGCTATGCAGTAGGTAAATTGATACGAAAAACCAATGTATTTCAGTGCATGGTTTGCAAAAGAAGGAAGACTGGAAGGGAAAAACTTGAGAATGGTTGCACTCAGGCAGCCCCACCGAAAGGCATGAGGATGACGTTTTTCTTTTGGTCCAAATCTATTGAGGCTCCACATTTTTGGTATGTCTTCTGTGATATAGGTGGCACTTCCTCACTGCTGTTCAAGTGAATGTGGTTTATAATGTAGATTCCCACAAGCACTGCAGATGTGGTTTGTTTTTGGACACAGAGAGGATGGGCGGCATTTAGTGGGCATTTATTGACAGGCTCTCCAACTGTACAAATCCTGTTATACTGCATTATCACAATCAATTACTAATCATTAGTATTTAATTGGAACTATTAGTTCTCATTTTTGGTTTACAGACATTCTATAATCTTTACAGTAACAACATGTACAACACAAAGCATTTTTAAATGTACACTATCAGTTTGTGGTGCAGCATTGAAACCAATTTCTGATCATGTCATGGAATGGAGACTTCATTGGCCTTCCTGATTTAATAGTGTGCAGTTGTGCTTTCACCTCTGTGATAATCTCACTTAGAGCTCCATCTGATGGTTGTATCTTTATTTGAAGCTCTCACTGTATCCACGTCAGATTCCGAGTTTCTTTTGTTGACTTGTAATTTATTTATTTATATGTACTACATCTACTATCTTTGTGCAAATCCTTTGCTGCCTGTAAGCAGGAAATGGGAGGTGCAGTTCTGCTCTCTTAAGGTTTGATTTGATATGCTGTCCGCATGGTGCAAAGAGAAATTGCAGTTTTATGTTACCACAGTCTTGATATTTACTGGTGCTCCCTCTGCGAGTCATTCCAACTAACATGTTTGAGGTGTTTATCTCTCTCTCTTTCTCTATTTCTAGCTGACCTGTGATACAGCCGGATGTTGGTTTCTTTGACTTGTTTTGTATTTGTTTTTAACAGAAACCCCTAATTATGCAAGGACCATTTCACTTGGTAACAATGTTACAACTGTTACTTTGTTTTCAGCCTTATGTACACATTTTTCAAAACGTTCTGTGCATTATAGCAGGAAAGAATACATCGCTAATGTGTTTGAGAATGTTGAGGTGACAGTATTTGGGACCTAAAAGCCAGATGTGAGTGCTGTATGTATACAAGGCAATACTAATTTACTTGAGCACTTAGAACAGAGTGCTGCAGTAATTGAGTAGAATAAGATCTACAGTTCAAAACTTATGTTGCAAAGAATCCATTACTATAGCACTTTTTGTTCCTAAAATAATCGTGTTATAAAACATTCAGCACTCTGAGGTGTGGTATAATGATTGTCTGTGAATCCAAAGTAAATGCATCTGAGAAAGTGTGTGACGTTTGCCTCTAAATCCCATCCCGTTCACACCGATAGTGCTTGCAGGGGAGTCAGTCCTCATCTCCTAAACGTTTTTCCTTAAATAGTTTATTGAAATGTTATTTGAAACGGAATATGACATCTTATGAAGACCTTTCACATCCTGTGGTGTTTATTTGTCATTTCAGTCGTTTATATGGCAGTGACATGAATAAATATTTGTCCAAATATATAGCAAATAGTGATTTCAAAAGGATTTTTAACGGGTCTTTGGTCATTAACACTTAAACATTTATTGACGCTAAATATGGTTTTTAATACGAGAACGTTTTGGAAACACACACTTGTGCTAAATCTCAGTATCCGCTGAGATTTCCAGGTTGTGATGGGTCTTAATAACATGGTGGCATGAAAGAAAAACAACCCTTCAGTTATTTTGAAGAGGGTATATCTGAAGAATATACTTAGTGTCTCTGAATTGTAATATGTTTTTAATGTTTTATTATAATTTTTTTTTTGTGCATTTTGTGTTTTTACTGACAAAAGAAGATGTTGGAAAAAATGCTTATCTTAAATCATCATGCTGCAAAGCGCACCAATTTGTTACATTTTTATTTGAGTGAAAAATTCTCTTTTTTGTTTTTATCTGTAGTTTGATTGAATATATTTGTTAACTTGGATGTTTTCATATTGTATTTTTCTAACATTACTTCCTGTTCATGTTAAAATTAGTACAAATTTAGAAAGTGCAATGCATTGAGACTATTATAAATATATGAATATATATATTGAGTGCAGAATGTGCTATATTCTTGGACCAGCCATTGCCGCTCCTGTATGTAGAAACCGCAGAAATTGTTTTATTCCATGTTCCTAAAGACATTTAATAAGATGTTTCTGAGCAAATCTTAACGTCTTTTGTCTCTGTTTGTGTGTGCATCAAGGTTCCTTGCAACAAAATAGTATTGTTACTTATTATTTTATTATTGCTTAAGTATTATTATTAAACATTTTATAAATAATTATAATGATGATCATTCAGACAAATCAATTTACATCAAGTTGTCTATTCCTGCATTCTTGACTGTTTTCAGAATCAGACAGTTAAGTGGATGAGGGGAAAAAAACTTTCACATTTTAAATGAATGGTAGGCATGAAAGGCTCTTTTTCAGAATTACGGTCTAGTTGCTATATTAAATGACATTCAAATGTTGGACTCTTTTCTGTCTGCGCTGGTAAACTCATTAGATATATCGGGTTACACATGCCAGTTCTTCACCTCTGATTTCTCCCATCGTGTGTGTGTTTTTGTGACAAATGAGGACATACATTTGTATAATGTCAGTCTTTCCCAGCTCAGATTTGCTCATTTTCTGACCCGTGACGACCCATGATGATCTAATCCTCACCCTCAGAGTGTCACTTACCCAAATGTTCCACCGAGAGAGCAAATGTGTTCTCACTCATTGAACTGCCTATATATAATCTGATTTAATGTAACCATACTTGTTATTTTTACAATTTTATAACGTGAATCAGTCTTATTCAAAATGTGTTGTTTGTACTTGTCCACTAGACGGTTACACTTTAGAATAAGGTTTCATTTGTTAACATTAGTTCATTAGTTACACGAACTAACAATTAACACCTTTTACAGCATCTACAATATTAATCTTAACGTTTACCAATACATTTTTAAGATCATGTTATTATTATGCCATGTGAACATAATCATGATCATTTTTAGTAGGTTATTACATTTTAAGAAAGGTTATAAAAGCTATGCGAATGTGTTTCTCATCAAATAGCCTATATAAAAAAAATCCATGAATCGATCTTTCTGGTACCAGATAAATTAATAAAAACAATTTATAGGGCCCTATTATTGTTTAAAAAATAGGACCTTGTACAAAAAAAAGAATGTTTAAAATAAAGTTCTGTGGCTCTTAATTTCTTTTTATTTATTTACCATATGTAAACCGATGTTTACTGTTTGTTTTTTTTAGAAACATCACTAGCATTTGTATTGAAACCATATTCACTGAAAAAAAAAATCGAGAATCGAATCTGATCGAGTCGAGGGCTTGCGAATCAGAGTCGAATCGAATCGGGACATCTGAATCGATACCCAACCCTAGCTTTAAGGCTTTTAATACATTGCCATCATCTTTCAGAGAGACAAACTGAATTTAAACACATCTGGTCATGTGACTTTAAAAAAAAAAATTTTTTTTTTTTTTACAGCAGCCATGTAAAAGTGTTCACATATTCTAAATGAATGTGTACGTTACGTTTATTTATAGTTCACAACTGTGTAAAATAACTCTTTTTAGAGTTGTTTGTGCCTTTTTGTACATTTTAGGCCCGAATGTTACCGGGAGAAACTGTGCTTTAATTCACCTCAGCGGGCTATTGTTTTGGGGATTCCCCGCTGAACGCATATGTTGTCCAGCGCGAACAAAGGGGCGTCCGCGCGCGCGCTGATTGGCTGCTGCGTTATCTGAGGTCTGTAGCAGCAGATGGGGTATTCCTCCTCCTCAAACTGCGATTGTTCCCGATGCGAGCACAGAAGCTCGGTTTGAGTTGGTTTTAGTAAAGCGCTGGATCGGTTCGTAGCATCGCGGATGGTAGGTTTGTTCAGTTTAATGTCGTCTGGAGACGTAAAAGCACAGATAAGATTCCGACCCCTTCAGAATCTGATCTGATCATCGTGTCATTGGGCGTCTGGAGAGCAGAGATCCACGAGACAGGGGTGGGTGTTGTTTGTTACTCACGACTTGTGTTTGCAACTTTGTATCGTAACGTGTAATATGATCCGTTGTGGATTGAAATTCATTAAGAATGTCTATTGGAAATGTAATATTCAGGCTTCAAATTACAATAGCATCTGTGGACTCTTGTCAAGAGAATATGCCACAGTGTTTAACATGTAGAGTTGTTCATGTCCCCTGTGAGATATCTGTGTTAGCAATGGGAAAGTGGGCTCTAATGGGGTCTGGTTTATCCAGGATAGTTCTCAGAAGTGCACACGTTGTTCCAAACCAGTATGACTTTCTTTCTTCTGTGGAACACAAAAGGAGAAGTTCATGCTTCTTTTTTTATGAACAGTGAAAGCGTATTAACATACTTGTTAATCACAGACACATTCAATTGATCAAAACTGACAGTAAAGACATGTCACAAAAGTTTCCACTCTTCCTTTAAGCAGCACAACTATTTTCACTATTAACTGAGAGGTAAATCATCATATTAGAATGATTTCTGAAGGATCGTGTGACACTGAAGAGTAATGGCTGCTGAAAATTCAGCTCGGCCATCGCAGGAATACGTTGTACTTTTAAATATTTTAAATAGAAAACAGTTAGGCTATTTTAAATTGTAATATTATTCCACACTTTTATTGTCTTTACAGTATTTTTTACTTGATTAGCATAAAATAGATCTTTCCCAAACATAAAAAAAATATATTATAGACCCTTTCCAGTAGGGCTAAATAATGTGATATGGCCTCGGGTAATAACAGCTGATATTTAGACCGACAGCACCATTGGGAGTGTGATAACTTGTGGTTCAGACTGAATTTGGATAGTTATTTCATAGATTTCTTTGTTGCCAATGAAAGTACTTCTAAAAGAGGCCAAAGCATCAAACTTTGTGAGTCACCAAGGACGCAGACAAGCAGAGTGATACAAATAGTGCAATGTCGCACTGCTGTTGGACTATTGCAAATATCAGCAGTGCTGGACCAATCAGATTTGAGGACCGGGGAGTCCGGGACTAATTGTTGTATAAAGCCTGCAAACTTTCTCCTACAAGTGCCTACAAATGATGCAGTTCTTGCAAATCTTCAAGTGTGAGATTACGTGATGGTGGCTAAATGCTAACAGATTTTTCATTTTTGGGTGAACTATCTCTTTAAAAGTGATCCTCACACCTTCAGGCGGTGCCTGTGACACATTTGAGCGTGAGTGAGTCAGGGACACATCTTCAGAGAGTTGAAACATGAGGGAATTCATGGGGGAATTGAAAAACTGTTTCAAGATGAAGAGAAGGAATCTCATTACCCCCCGGTAAATAGATTCCTTCTCTTCATCTTGAAACTGTTTTTCTAAACTGCATCTAGAAACCATTTGTTTTAATAAATGTGGATTCTTTCAGTGTTTCAAATAAGTTACTCATTTCCAGACTGGTCTCTTCAGTTGCAAGTTAGAATCTCAGTCAGATGTGGGCGTCACATTTTCCATGCAGCAGATTTTGAAGTAGCTGTGTTTTGTCTTTGTCATACTTCATAACTCAGAGTTTCACAGCAGCAGCCATCAATCAGTAAACACTCCAACGACTGCAGCAGTGCAAGCTGCTAAACACATGAGCGAAGGGAAGGAAGAAGAAAAGGAAGAGGGAGCAGACGTGGGACTTTCAGCATTGTTGGATGAAGCTTGTTGTCGGTTCGCAAGTGTTTTCCAGGTTGCCGTGGCAATTTAACAATAGCCGAGCAATAGTGTTTGTGAGGAGATGCTGGTTGGGGGAGGTGAGGGAATGGATGTAGGCCAGGAAACATCAAGCGGAGATCTTGGCCTGGATCTTAAAGACCGAGGGTATGAGCGCTTGCTTTGGAATTGGGCAACGAGGGGGAACTTCCAAGCCATGGGAAGGAAGAAAACGGATGGAAAGGTGGCCGTGGTTGTTTTCAGGTCATTGCAAAACAATAGCATGAACAAATATGATAGAATTTATTACTTAAAGAGTAACATGCAAACATGCAAAAAAGAGTTTGGTTCGTTTTGGATGCTGAAGCAGGATAAACCACCACGTCCATCACGTCTGTCCCACTTCCACAGTCTTCCCAGCACCGAAACACATGCACAACTCAAGTGCCAAGCCACCAGACCGTCTGTGTTCGACAAACATGTAATTATTCATAATTAGGCATTTTTATAGATGCAAAGTTGATCTTTAAGAGAACCGGCAGATTGGATAGTCACATGAGCTCAAAAGACTGTGTAAAAATAGTTCTCATGCTCTTTTTCATTCATTTCTCATTGACTCCCCTGACACATTTAATGCTAGAGTGCACAGTTGCGTAAGCGTGGAAAAGTACATGGCTCTTGAAACGTGGTGCTCCAGTGAAAGGCATGAAAAAAATGGCTTTTGCATTTCAGAGACTGAAGTGGGATCATGTTGCATGGAACACTGGTGGTTTTTTTCTTTATCTATATTTTCCTAACCGACGTCTAACTGAAGAGCTTGAATAAAGGAGGGATTAAAAGTAAAAGAAAAAGTTCAGATAAGATTGTGAAATGTTTTTTTTCTCTCAAATTTCCTTTTTCAGCATGTCTTGGATTTACTTCTTGGCCTGAATGTGTAAACTGTACACTATTTTGGTGTTTGTAAGAATACAAAAAATGCAATAAAAAGTAAAACATTAAAATAAAGGTTTAATAAAATAACAGTTTGGTATTTTATATTTATTAAATGTGATTTTTTTTTAGTAACCAATACTCAGTCTTCAGTGTCACATGATTCTTCAGAACTCATTCAAATATGCTAATTTGATGCTCAAGAAACATTTCTGATTATTGTCGATGTTGAAAATAGTTGTGCTGCTTAATATTTTTATGCAAACCATGATACATTTGTATCAGTATTCGTTGATTAATAGAAAGTTAAAAAAAACAACAGCATTTTGTAACGTTATAAATGTCTACTGTCACGTTTGATCAATTTATTTATTAATTTATCAATTTATTAATTTATTTAAAAAAATATCCAACTGACCCAACATATAAATTCTTTAATATTCCGAAATTGATTTAATGAAAACCAAAAACGAATCATTTTAAATGCTACAACTAAATCTACTATCTTGCTTTACAACTTTATCACAACATTATGAAGTATGAAAACTGGGTATTCATTTAGAGATTTGCTAAAGATAACAAAATGATTAGTATTTTTAAATATCAACTTTGAGGAAATAAGCATGCACAATATTGGCCGATTCAGATTTGGCACCGATATATCATGCATCTATAATCTAATCAATGCCTGTCATCTGATGCCTATTATCTGCTGGCAATGACTTTTGGATGTGTATCAGAGACCAATAGCTCTTCTGTAGTTCTGGCAGGACTATATTTGGGATATGAAACATTCATGTCAGAATAAGCTGCTCTGGGTTGATTGGTATTGAATATTTCATCAGCTCCTGATTGAGCGCAGCGAGTGGTGTGTATGAAAGATGTGGGAGGGGCCACACACACACACACAAGCTCTAACAGCTACACATACTTAACTGTTCACTGTGGGTCAGGAGATGGTGGTGTTGATAAGAAAACAAGCCCATACAAGAGAGAGACGCTATTGTTTGCTCGTGGGATAATGATCTTGTGAAAGGATAATCGTGTAGGGACTGAATGAGGCCATTACCGCTTCCATTTGGGGTCTCAGTAGGACACCTGTGCTCTGTTTGTGTGTATTTGTGTGTGTGTTGGACTCTTGAGTTACATGCGTACACTAAGTAGTTCTCCTAAAGTGATTCTAAGTGCTCATAAAGTTCATATATCTTTTGTTGTTGTAAGATTAATGGCAGTGTGCATAAAGACATTGGTGAACTTGAGAGAGACTGACACAGGGAGATAAAGAGAGGAGGAGGAGGCAGTGAAACCACCATTGGGGAAGTCTGAAGCCTCATGTCAGTTTCCACTGTGCAAATCAGAGGAAGAGTGTAGGAGAGCGAAGCTGAGTGTCACATGGGTTCAGCACTGGGCTAGCGTTTAAAGACCACCAGACGATCAGCTGCAAAAGAAAGAAGGTAATGTGCGTTAAATCTTCTTATATCAAGTTCAGGAAATCCTATGAGAAAGTGAGCCAGTAAACGGGAAGTACTACTGTTCAAGCTTGTGAAAATGTCCGGATTTAAATCAGTTAAAATATGCTGGTTTATAGTATTTCAGATGAAGAGGAGTACGGTTGTTGTTTTAAATAACTTGTATGTCATTTTATCATGTAATACAGAGGACACATGACTGTTGGGTTGGTTGTTTTTCTGTGTTTGAAGGGATAGTTGATTCACAAATGAACATTCTCTCATTATTCACTCACCCTCGTGTCGTTCCAAACGTCTATGCATTTCTTTCTTCTGTGATACACATACAAAATATATTTCAAAGAATGTTTGTAATCAAACTGTTTCTTATCCCATTGACTTCCATTGTATTTTTGTCTATATAATGGAAGTCAGTGGGAAACAAAAGGATTTTATTGCCAGCATTCTTCCAAATATCTTCTTTAATGCTCCACAGGTTTGAAACAATATAAGGGTGAATTTAGATTTAGATTTTTAGCTGAACTGTTCCTTTAACATGCTTGTACAAAGTTGTGAAACCACATGCTAGGCAGATGGCCACTGCCATTTCCTTAGTTTCAGTTCCTTTAACATTTAGTTAAGCGTGAACATGTATCTTTAAAAAAGTTTGTTTTAAAGTTAGATTTGACATATTTATTTTAGTTTTGTTGGCATGACAGTTGTATAAATGTTTTAAAGAAGACACAATAAAACAGCAACAGTGTGGAGTCTGAGATCTTGAGTAGTTGTAACAGCGGGGTAACAGTACCCCTGTTGTCCTGCACCTGTCCCTGTCTCCGGAAGCTTCTGTAAAGCCTTTCCAGCTGGTGAGGAAGGAAGCCTTAAGTAGAGCAGTTTGTATTGTGCCAGGGGAACCTCCAAACGGGAGTATATGTGTCAGCCATTGAGGTCTAGAGTCGGTCATATAGTTAACTGTACTCTTTCGTCTTTGAAATTGACATGTTACACAGTAGGTTACACTTTATTTGAAGGTGTCCTTGTTACTGTGTAACTATACATTTAAGGACTGAGTAATATTAATTAACTACATGCACTTACTATATGGTTAGGCTTAGGGTTACTTGCATGTTTTTATATTAATAGTAAGTACATGAAGCGTGTAACAAGGACACCTTAAAATAAAGTGTTACCAAAATGTACAACTTTTCCTTTGAATAATTCACACTGATGAAGGATTTATCACTCATGTTTTTTTTAGTTCTTGTATGAGCATTTCTATTGACCGATGAATGGCATGATATTAAAAGTTTCTTCTGTCTCTGGTTTCTCTAGTTTCATCTGTAAAGAAACACAAGCGACAGTACTGTATTATCCTACAGCACTGATTGTATTTCAATCAATGGTATTCCTAAAAACGTAAATATATTGATCATCATTATGACTGAGCATCTTTTAGCAGTTTAAATGTTAAAAGTGTGATCAAGTGTGATAAAGACTCTGTTGGGAGGCGGGACATTCTCTGTTTAGAGACCATGATTGGACAAAAATCTGCTCAGTGCAACATGAGTATTGTATTATGGTTTTCCCAGATGAGAAAGACATCAAATGAAATGCAAATATCTGCTAAAAGTGAAATTTAGGAGTACATTAGCATACAATACTGTTCAAAATTTGTTTGTGTTTGAAAGCTCACCAAGGCTGAATTTATTTGATAAAAAAACAGTAATATTGTGAAATATTATTACCATTTAAAATAACTGTTTTCTATTGCAAACAGTTCTAATGCAAAGCTGAATTTTCAGCAATCATTACTTCAGTCTTCAGTGTCACATGATCCTTCAGAAATCATTTTAATATGCTGATTTGCTGCTGAAGAAACATTTCTTATTATCAATGTCGAGAAACCCTGATAGTTACAGAAAGTTCAAAAGAGAAGCATCTTTTGACTTTTTTTTTTACTATGTCTTTTGGTCAATCGGTCATTGCTAAATAAAAGTATAATTTATATTTATTTTTTACTCTACTGATAACAAACTTTTGAATTTGTTACTATATACTACTTTATACTATAGGTGAACTATAATATAAACTTACTGTTTCAATCCTCTCATTCATTCCAGTATGTGCTCCGTGTCTATTCTGGTCACATCCTCATGCATAGTTTACTTTCAGCTGTGACACGCAGATGTCGACATCACATGGGTTTGTGGGATATAGAATAGAGCATCAGTCTCTTGTCAAGAGATATCAAAAATACACGAGTTAGTCAGTGTGAGATATGCATACTTTACTCTGTTTGTTGTTCTCTTACATTCCTCATGCGCTGACCTAGATACCGAAGAGTTAATTATTTGATGTTAAAACAAGAAGCAGAACCATTCTCTCTCTCTTTCTCTGTTCTCCTCCCTGTTCCTCTGTCTCCGTCTCTCCAGAGTCCTTCCATGCAGTTGTGGCTGGGATAAAATGGATGACAGGAATGACGGTGTGCGGTTTGGAGAGAACAAATTCATCAGCAAGTGAGTATAAATCTTAGACCAACTCATGAGTGTTAAAATCATCCTGTGATTGGGATGTTAAAACAACTGAGCAAAAGAAATGTTTGCATTTTTTCCTTCCTGTTAGCTCTGACAGTCTTGTAATGATATGTTCACATGCGATACTGTAAAGTCAGATTGTCATTACAGTAAAATAAAAACCAGACAGGAAGATCAGTCCTTTATTTTGTCACCATGAAAGACTTTACATTAAGTGACAAGCTACTGACTTATAAAATATATGGATATAAAATACTCAGATAAATACTGAAACAATATTTAATTATTACAATTATTAAAAAAATTAATTGATGAGCAAAAACAGTTTCATATATATATATATATATATTAAATGGTTTACCTGTTGCTTTTCATTGTGCATTTGTTATTTTATTCATTAAAAAATGTAATTGGAGTAATGGCTGCTGAAAATTCAGCTTTGCCATCACAGGAATAAATTACATTTGAAAATATGTTCAAACAGAACACAGTTATTTTAAATTGTAATAATATTTCACAATATTACCGTTTTTTTACTGTATTTTTTATTAAATAAATGCAGCCTTGGTGTGCATAAGAAACTTCTGTCAAAAACATTTTAAAAAAATCATACTGACCCCAAACTTTTGAACGGTAGTGAGTAAGGTAAATTTTAGGAGGGTTTTTTTGTGGGTTATAATAATAATTATTATTATTATATGGATATAAAATACTCAGATAAATACTGAAACAATATTTAATTATTACAATTATTAAAAAAATTAATTGATGAGCAAAAACATTTTCATATATATATATATTAAATGGTTTACCTGTTGCTTTTCATTGTGCATTTGTTATTTTATTCATTAAAAAATGTAATTGGAGTAATGGCTGCTGAAAATTCAGCTTTGCCATCACAGGAATAAATTACATTTGAAAATATGTTCAAACAAAACACAGTTATTTTAAATTGTAATAATATTTCACAATATTACCGTTTTTTTACTGTATTTTTTATTAAATAAATGCAGCCTTGGTGTGCATAAGAAACTTCTGTCAAAAACATTTTAAAAAAATCATACTGACCCCAAACTTTTGAACGGTAGTGAGTAAGGTAAATTTTAGGAGGGTTTTTTTGTGGGTTATAATAATAATTATTATTATTATTATTATATGTACTTAAATATATATTCATTATTCTTTCATTCTTTATTTTGCACATTGCACATTAATTAACATAAGCACTCAAGTCCAGTATGTAAATGTTCACAACTTTTTAAATGCATTCTTAAAAATAGGATTTTAAACCATTTTATTTCAGAGATTAAAGTAATTGTTGAACAAACTTTGTTCTTTCTCAGGAGAAGCATTCTCTCTCATTTAAAGACCTACAATCTCTACTATGAAGGAAAGAACCTGCAGCTACGCCACAGAGAGGTAAGAAAGAGTTTTACACTCATTGTGTGGCAGGTGGGGAAGCGTTTGACCCCTTCTGTGCTTTCTCAATTATTCACTATTGTCTGGGGAGTAATAACTGTCTGTGACTGGAAGGCTTTTGTGGGGGGGTGTTCATGTAGGGCTCCTTTTGTGTCTGTAAATGCAGCTTGCTCAGGTGCTCTGGCCGTGCCAAATCACTGACAGATTTAGATATGCTACAGTTATCATTTATCAACCTCATTTATTCGAAAAGTAACACTCTGGTCCATTATGTATCATCACTTGTTTTTGTCAGGTAACAGACTTAAGGATAAGTATGTGTGTATGCTGTGTGTATTGTGCCTGCAGGAAGAGGAGGAGCTGATCATTGAAGGACTTCTCAATATCTCATGGGGGTTGCGTCGACCAATCAGGCTTCAGATGCAGGATGACCACGAGCGAATCAGACCTCCTCCCTCCTCTACCTCCTGGCACTCAGGGTGTAACCTTGACAACCAGAGGTCAGACAATGAAGCAAACACACAAATATATTTAAATGAGCTCATTAACCTCCTATACATGCAGTACTGAGAAACTACTGTGCACTGAGGAAGAGAGAAAGTGTATGTTGCTTCTCAAGTGAATGTACCTTGTTTTTAGGATATTTTACTGGAAAATAAGACTAAATATATAGTGTAAATATACACTACCGTTTCAAAGTTTGAGATTAAGATTTGTTAAGATAATGTTTTTGAAAGACGTCTTTTATGCTCATAAAGGCTACATTAAAAAAAGTAAAAAGAGTATGCCTAATATTGTGAAATATTATTATGAATATAAGTTAACTTATAATTGATTTCTCTGATGCAAAGCTGAATTTTCAGCAGCCGCTACTCCAGTGTTCAGTGTCACAAAATCCTTCAGAAATCATTCTAATATTACAAACATTTGGTGATCAAGAAACATTTCTAATTATTATCAATGTTGGGACAGTTGTGCTGCTTCATATTTTGTGGAAACTTTGATGCAGTTTGTTTTTAGGATTCTTTGATGAATTAAAAAATGTGGTTTGTAATCATTTGGATTCATTTATTAGAAATGGGCATCTCATGTAACATAAATGTCTTTACTGTCACTTTTGATCAATTAAATGTGTTCTTGCTGAACAAAATTATTCATTTCTTTAGAAAACCTCTTACTGACCACAAACTTTTGAAAGCTAGTGTATATAAGACTGATAAATACTTTTTTTTCTTGCAATACAGAATTGTCAACCATTAAATGTCACTTTATATAATTTATAATAATAATTTATGCATTTAGCAGACGCTTAAAAGCGACTTACAGTGCATTGAGGCTATACATTTTTTACCAGTATGTGTGTTCCCTCGGAATTGAACCCACGACCTTTTGCGCTGCTAACGTAATGCTCTCCCACTGAGCCACAGGAACATATTTACTAAACCGTGTTTGATTAGTACCTATCTAGCTTATTAACCATGGCATACAAAAATTATCATCATAACAGATACCAAGATGTATTTCACAAGCCCAGTTCTTTAAACTCAAGTAACCTTGACACCATGAGAGCCTGCTTTGTTTCCGGAGTTTGTTGCCATAGCAACTCTATCCTTGTGATGGCCATGCTTTTGGCATTCCATCAGCTGAAATGTTTTGAACGTGTGCGATATAAATAATTCTCACATTTCCAATGTTTTATGGTTTTGATCTCTTCTCGTCTGTTTTTGCCTCATGGTTCCAAATGGGGACTTCAAAAGAGCTATTTATATCTGAGTGCTCCAAAGCTAATATTGTTTTCAGCACCTACACAGAATCAAAGAGCTGAGAAACTGAGCACTTACATGCCAGAATGTTATTGATCATGTTAGCTTAACGAGCGGTTCCCAGAATCATATGATTTCACATCCAGTATGTGTTCATATGCATGACAGAATTTGTTTTTCACCATTTTTTGATAGTTTTGGCATCATTTGGACAAATAATAAGATTAATTTGAGTGATTCTAGGATTTCAGTATTGAACATAGACTGATGTTGAAGTGTATAGTGTATAAGGTACATATTTGGAAGAATTCTGATGTTCCTCTGTAATGGTTTTCCAGTCAGGAGGGTCAGAAACAGACTCCTCAAACTCCACCTCAGATGGAAGTGACGCCCCCAGAGGACCACTCGAGCAATGGCACAACACAAGACCACGAAGAAGAAGAAGAAGGTATGACTTCAAAAAGACACATTATGTGAACTTGTGACTTGCTCTTCCTCCTCATCTTCTGCTTTCTCCTGGCAGAGGCGTGTGACGTCTCCGCTCAGCTTCTTAGAACCAAAAGTGATGCTGGTGTTCTGAGACGGGGCAGGAGGCGGTCTCCCAGCGACCAGCGGCGAATCAGAAGGCACAGGTTTTCCATCAACGGTCACTTCTACAACCACAAGGTAACTTGAGAAGAAACAGTAGTGTGTGTGATTGTTTGAGCATCAGTCATGTGATCTCTTGTTCCTCTTTCTCTTTGATTCAGACGTCTGTGTTCACTCCTGCATATGGTTCTGTTACTAACGTCCGGATCAACAGCTGCATGACCACGCCACAGGTGCTGCGGGTGTTACTGAATAAGTTTAAGATCGAGAACAGCCCGGATGATTTCGCCCTCTACCTCGTTCATGCCAGCGGAGGTCAGCTGCTGTCTGCTTTTATCTTCCAGTTAATAAACGACTTGACTGTGCAACACTGAATCGCCATCTAGTGTACACCGAACAACATGACAGTTATACTATATCGGAGGCTACAGTAGAATCAATATTATACACTAATAATAATAGCTATTATACTGCTACCAGAAGTTTGGAATAATTATTTTTTTAATGTTTTTTTTAAAGAAGTGTGTTATGCCCACCAAGGGTGCATTTTTTGACATAACGTAATATTTTGAAATATTATTACAATTTAAAATAACTTCTTTCTCTTTAAATATATTTTTGAAAATGTAATTTATTTCTGTGATGGAAGAGCTGAATTTTCAGTAGGCATTACTCCAGTTTTTAGTGTCACATGATTCAAAAATAATTCTAATATATTTCTTCTTATAATCATTTTTCAATCCATTTTTCATATTTTGTGGAAACCTTGATACACTACAATTCAAAAGTTTAAGTAAGTAAGATTAAAAAAGAGAGAAGAAATGAATACTTTTAATCAGCAAGGATGCATTTATAATGTTCAAAATGTCAAATAAATGCTGTTCTTTTGAACTTTGTATTTAGCAAAGAATCCTGAAAAAAGAAATGTATCACTGTTTTCAACACAGGAATAAATTACATTTAAAAAAAAAAAAAAAAAACTTATTTTAAATTGTATTCATATTTTACAACATTGCTGTTTTGCTGCATTTTTGATCAAATAAATGACTTTAGTGACCATAAAAGACTTCTTACAAAAACATAAAAAAATGTAATTATTCCAAACATTTGTTAAGTAGTGTAACTGCTGATACTTAGGTTTAGTATTAAACTTGATGTTTGTGCTACAGATATGAATGATACCTCAAATCTTATGACGGATGTGAACATTTAAATTAGTTGTGGGAAATTACCCACAACACACTAGTATCGTAATAGTGACCAGTTTTGCACCTTATATACCTTATATATTTGTACAATATAATGAAAATGAAAATGCTGGAATCTAGTTGTATATGTACAAAATGTGTTATGTGTTTCAGAGCGTGTTCAGCTGAAGCGTACAGATTACCCATTAGTAGTGAGAATACTTCAGGGACCATGTGAGCACGTCTGCAAGATCTTTCTCATGGAGCAGGATCTGGGAGAGGAGATTCCCTATGAAGTGAGTGTGTGTGTGTGAAGCAGGGTTGATCTGCTTAGACGTTTAACATTACAAGGCTGGTAATGCTGAAACACACAAAGAAATTCACATAACTGACTGCAGTTGCTCTCCACTGCTCTAGGTGGCGCAGTACATCAAATTTGAGATGCCTGTCCTGCAGAGTTTTATTACCAAACTGAAGGAAGAGGAGGACAGGGAGGTGCAGAAGCTGAGAAGCCGGTATGATCCACCTTACATGAGCAGATGGGACAAACCCTGGACCACAAAACCAGTCATAAGTGCCAGTTTTCTGAAATTGAGATGTATATGTCATCTGAAAGCTGAATAAATAAGCTTTCCATTGATGTATGGTTTGTTAGGATAGGACAATATTTGGCCGAGATACAGCTATTTAAAAGCCTGGAATCTGAGGGTGCCAAAAAATCAAAATAATGAGAAAATTGCCTTTAAAGTTGTCCAAATAAAGATCTTAGCAATGCATATTAATAATCAAAACTGAAGTTTTGATATATTTACGGTTAGAAATTTACAAAATATCTTCATGGAACATGATCTTTACTTAATATCCTAATGATTTTTGGTATAAAAGAAAAATCGATAATTTTGACCCATACAATGTATTTTTGGCTATCGCTAGAAATATACCCGTGATACTTATGACTGGTTTTGTGCTCCAGGGTCACATTTAGTTTCTGAGAGTTGCCGGTGTCCTGACATTTTATCCTACCCGCAAGTTTTGCGTCTGCTCTGTTCAGCGAGTGACTGAGAGGGGCAGCTCTTTTAGTTAAACCAGATATTAAGTTGCTTCTCTAATTTTACATGCAAGTATAGCCGAAATCACAGCACAGCTATTGTCTTTATCTTATGTGTATTTGAATTCATCAGTCGACGGCTCGATTATAAATCAGGATTGTTGTGCAGATTAACATCTTGGAAGGGAGAGCTGGTTTTGAAGTCTTAATGGCTGGCGTTTCAGTCACTATTTCATATTAATTCGGTTGTCTGACAACAGAAACGGTCAAATATAACAATGAAAACCGTTTTAATGAGGATTTGGCTGCATCAAATTACAGTATGTGGGCACAGAGAGGCAAACAAATGTAATAATAAAAAAATAAATGTTCAGAAGAAGTGAGCTGCCCTGTCCTGCAAATAGTCTAAACAGGCTTGTGTAAGTATTGCTCAGTGCAAAGAAAGAGAAGTAATAGGAACCTGGTATTTCTATGTTCTTTTTTTCATGTGTCTAATAGACATGAACATGATATTTGAAAAATGACCTTTGAAACATATCTAGTCTTCATGCTCTGTTGAGTATGGTTTCACTAATAATAAACATACATTTGCATTAAAGAATCCATATTTGCCCATGCCCATGTTGATTAGAGTATGAAAAGTATTAATTTGATGTTCATTTAGAACAGATAAGAATGTGCGATTTAAGCTGCGATTAATCACAAGTTAACTCATGACAATCATGCAATTAATTGCGATTAAATATTTTAATCGATTGACAGCCCTAATATATATATATTTAGATTTAGATTATTTTGCCTTTTGTCAAAACCTCACTTCAATTTCAATGGCAATTGCTCAGTTTACACAGAAAATCTGTGATTAGAAGTGTGTGTTGCTCATGACTGCTGCCATGTCTTTTGAGCCTAAATGCCATGAGCTGACTCAAGCACCACAGGAAATGATGTCATGACAATGCTAATTGGCTGATGGCACCACAAGAAGACGCACAGTCACAAACCCTTCACTAGAGACTATCCTCAGCTGTGACGTCAAAGAAAAATATCTCTTCATTTCTGTGTTTTACTAATCCATGCATCTCTTTCTGAATAGATTCAAGTATCTGCGGTGTATCATTGAGAAGCAGCTCCAGTGTCTACCAGAAGGCTCCACCTGTATGTGACGAGCACATTCCCCTCTTCATATCAATCAGTGGACTTCCAGACAAAATGTCATCAGTCGCGTCTGTCCTGAATGATTGTTAACCACTAATATGCATTGATATTTGCTGACCAGTGAAGATGGATGGTACATCTTATATAAACATTCGTTGTATATTTTTCTCTGGTGCTGTAGGGAATCACATGCAGGTACAATAATATAAAAGCACATTCCACTAAACCAGGGAATTTCATCATCCAGTGATGACTGGAAAGCGCAAGCAAAAAAAGGAGTAATGACAAGCACAAAGTAACAAAGATAAATGCTTACAACTTTAGTATTATTTGTTTGGTTTAACCCATTAAAAATGGTGACGACTGACTGATCACTTTACATGTTGGATGTATTGAGAATATATGCGGTCTGAGCCAGCCTGTTGTACCATTACAATTCCATTAGACCAAGGTCTCTTTTAGACAGCGATTAAATCTCTTTGTAACAGAATGGTGAGAAGCGAAGTACAAGACTGTGAACTTAAAGGATGATTGAAAACGGAGTGAAGCAGCACAAGGGATGGTAGTCTCTGAATATCTGAATGTTGTTTGAGTGAGCGAGTTAGTATGACTAGTATGCATGTTTGGGCACCTGAAGAGGTAGTTGAGAATTCAAGAGCTTCATATTTTTCTTTTACGTTTAGACTGTCATTCACATCTATGACTGGCCTCTGTCTTGTCATACTGGCATGTGTTTATAAATATATATATGGTGATACTTATATTTAAATAAAATGTTATCATCAGAAAAAGAAGAAAAAAACGGTTTTATTTACACTTGTGTATCAGTATTAAGATAATATGTTAGATTATGGAGGATAATTACTATTATTTGGCAGTGTGCATGTAACTATTAAAACGCATAACAAAAAGAGTATTATATCATTTTTTTATAATACACTACTGCTTGGGGTCAGTAAGATTGATACAGTTTTGAAAGAAATTACTTTTATTCAGCAAGGATGCATTACATGAATCAAAAGTGATGCATTTATAATGTTAAACGATTTCTAATTCCAAGAAATGCTGTTTTGAACTTACTATTCATCAAAGAATGCTATGATAATACCCACTACATAGTCTACACCACAGAGTATGTACACTATCAATTCTAGATCATAATATACATAGAGATCTACAGTGGGGCAAAAAAGTATTTAGTCAGCCACCAATTGTGATTACATTTCAGAAAACTAGTTAACGCTGCTGTGTGGGTATTTCTAACAGCTGAGCGAGTGACGGCAAATTTTGAAAAATCTTTTCCTAATCTTTCTAGAAGGTTTTTCCTCTTTTGGAAACTCAAAAACTCTACTTTTTTTCTTTTTTGATTGCATTCACATCACCACTTCAGAACCCAACTATATCGACTTCTGCTTCTAGGAATCCCGGAAACGTGAAAAGGGTCCATTGTTATTCTTTTACTGGCCAAGATTTGTATTTATTTTCCAGCACGCACAACCTACCAGCAAAGAAAAATCACTGCGTGAATGTCAGAACTACCAGTCTTCCTCCACATGAGGATTTGACTGCAGGTAGTCTCGTGGGTTATCTAACCAGCATCGCTGAGCTCATGGAGAGACACAATCACCACATGACCGACCCCACAGAATGACCCCTGGGCCTAAAGACGTTCGTCAAATCCATAGACCGTCTTAATCCTGTTGATGGATTAGAGCGAAGTTCTGATCCTATGCCGGCGAGACGGGCCGACGTAGGTTCATTCACTCAACCAATCAGAGAATGAGCAGCAGTCGGTTAATGTCGCTGTGTACGTGTGCTTGTGTGAGTTCTGTCTCAAACTCTCATCCATTCAAGCTCAGCAGACCAGAGAGGAGGACAACACTTGGACAGTCATCCTGAACCTTCCAAAATACATTTCATCCACATACCAATTCAATGTAAGTCAATGCATACTCTTTTGGAGGAACGGAACTTTATTTTAACCATATTTTATAAGAATATGTAATATTATTAGTAGTTTATTAATATCTCCAAAGAAAAGTATATCTTCATACTGGAAAATTACATACCAATGTGTGATATTCTGGTGTATAATGTTGCATTACTGTTTATTTCTATTTCCTAAGGCTGTTAATGCAGAATTAATACTTGTATGTAATATGAAGATAATTGTTTAAAACATTTGTTTTACACTCAAATGCCAGTGCTGTTTATATTATTTTAGGGTCACCTTAGAGTGATAGTGACCTTGTGATAAAGTTGACCTTATAATTGAATGATTTTAAGAATGAGCATCGTCTTTGTGTTGAGTTTGAGTGAATGGTGCAGGGGTGAGAATATCCTTGAGACAACCAGACACTGAAGTATACCAGATTACCTTTCTAAAGCTGCCAGACTGGCGGCCTAGATTCTGAAAAGATCATGTACTGCTCAATTCTAGATCATAATATACACATAGAGATCTATGTATGTTATACTCTCAAGTTCAATACAGGACTTCTTTTATTATATAAAATGTCCTTAATCAGTATTTTTGTGTTGCCTTCCAAATAAATAATTACAAATTAAAAAATTATATATATAGATATAAACACACACACTTATATATATTTTTTTTTAAAGAAACCTTTTTTTTTGCTCACCAAGGCTGCATTTATTTAATCAAAAATACATAACCTTAATATTGTGAAATATTATTATAAATTGTTTTAAAGCTGTAAACAATATACAACTGTTTTCTATTTCAATATATTTTAAAATGTCATTTATTCCTGTTAGGCAAAGCTGAATTTTCAGTCTTCAGATTCACATGATCCTTCACAAATCATTATATAATATATTGATTTGGTGCTCAAGAAACATTTGAAGAAATTACATTTTAAAATATTTTAATATAGAAAACGGTAAACAATAAGGTTCTATTTGCTAACTATATTTAATTAATTAACATTAACAATGAGAAATAAATTGTTACAATATTTATTAGTCTTTGTTAACATTAATTAATAAAAATACAACTGTTCATGTTAGCACAGGTCTAATAAAGCACAACTTTTGATTTTAATAATGTATTAGTAAATGTTGGAATCAACATTAACTAAGATTAATAAATGCTTTAGAAGTATTTATCATTATTAGTTTATGTTAACAAATGTATTGAACTAATATTAACAAATGGAACCTTATTGTAGTGGTACCAAGTTCTGGTAAATTGTAATCATGTTTCACAATGTTCCTGTTTTTACTCTATTTTTCATCAAATAAATGCAGTCTTTGTGAGCAGAGACTTTCAGAAACATTTATAAATTCCTAAATATTCCAAATGTTATAGATAGATAGATAGATAGATAGATACTGATGAAGATGTCACACTGAAAACATTTAGTCACTGCATGGGCACTTTTGTATTTTTATGGCCTCTGAATAAAGACTGCAATTTATTTTTCTTTCTCAAAGGACATTGTGTGCGGGCTTTAGCACTTTGTTTTTTTACTATGGAAAAAAAAGTTTACATATAAACATTCTTAAAAGATCTGTTTTGGATATATCTTCAGTTATTTCCCCCCTTGTTTTAGAAACAGAATTGTCTCTCAGATGTATTAAACTTATGCTTAAAATGAGCCAATAATCAAAAATAGGTTATATAAAATAGGTTCTAAAAGACAGGGTTTTCTTTTTTCTTACATGATAAATGGGCTACTTTTTTTCAGATAAGACCCTATAGTCATTTTAGAAAATAAGACCTTTCTAATTTCTCTTTCTTGACATTATTGGCTTTCTCTGTATCCTTCCTCCTGGCGTCATGTCCTGTGTGTCCACTAATCAGACAGATCTCATTGGGACCGACGAGTCAAAGACTGATTGTTTTTTTTAACTATGTTTAGCTCTTTGCTTTCACAGAGTTTGCATACCAGACATGGATTCAGTCGACCTCTGACCTTGTGTTTTCACAGCATCTTCCGGCATGTTCTCCCAATATAAAATCTTGTCGTTGATGAACTGCCTGTTACTCCTGGCGGTGATGTTTCCTGCGGTCCAGTCGCGTCGGGGCGGGGGCTTCGGGCGTGGAGGAGGCCGAGGTGGAGGATGGGGAGGCAGCAGCTCTGGTCGCACGGGCTGGGGAGGAGGCGGTGGACATTACCGTGCCCCACCAGCTCACACCGGAGGCTCCTCGGGACACAGCACTGGGAAGGTAGCAGGGGCGGCCGCCGCCGGAGCTCTAGGGGGAATGCTGGTCGGACACGGCTTGAGCTCCTTGGCCCGACCTGGATATGGGTACGGGCATGGGTATGGAGGTTATGGAGGATACGGTGCGGGATATGGGCATGGCCATGGGTACGGCCATGGTCACGGACATGGACATGGTGGTGAGCATTCAGGAGATCATGTTCACAATGAGACAGATGTGGATTATTACACAGATGCTGCCAGTTCTGGACCCGTTTATAGCTGTGTGACAGTTTTTGGACTCGTGATGTCATTCTTACTTGGGTACATTCTGTCTTAAGGGCCACTTATGGGTCACTTGGCATGGGTCAATCTTGGGCACCTTCTTGCATCTGTCACTTCTTTCAATACAAAAATGCAATTAAACAGCACTCTGTGCATGATCTCCGCCCAAGTTCTGTGTTAAATTGACAGCAGAAAACAAGGTTGCATTTGCTTGATTGGCGACCGTTTCCAATGGTTTTTTGTCTCTGAAGCGAGAGTTATGATGAGCACATGCCTGAGTCAGAAGCCTGTGCATTTATTGTTGATTTTTATAAATGAATAATGTCGTTTTTTCATGATTTAGTTTATATGCATAATGGAATTTTGTATCATTTAAAATATATGATGTGTAACAGGTAGTTTATTATCTAAAGAGCTTTGCAGAGCATCATGTATATGTATTTTTCCTTGATACTTATGCAAACATGCATTGATTGTTCTCTACTGAGCCGTTTCAACCTTCTCAATGATTTAATCTGTTTGTTCCTGCCATTTACGTCAGCGAACATTCAAAATAAAACAAGGCTTATGGTAAAATCACATTAAACCATAATAAGCTTGACGCAGTGCGTCAAGTTGAGAGCAAATCTTGTTAAAGGGCTCGGGTGCTCTCTACCTCACTTCCCTGAGCTCTTTAACAAGCAGCTGATTGTTTTAAACCAATAAGATTCCATTGCTTTCGCTTGTACACTTTCCTATCAGTATGTATGTTTATTTTTGTACTGCTAATATAAAATAAATACACTTCATAAAATACTTGACGTTTTGTCATTTTTCATTCCATGCGAGTGATAATACGGGTAAATGTGGTTTGATTTAGTCAGGAATGGGAGAAATTGTGATGACTAGGTGAACTATTACTTTGGTCCTAAAATTAGACTGCATTTTCAGATATGGACATGATATTCACATGCAAAATAACCTTAACAAAGAGCACTTAATCACAAAATTCTGTGTTTAGAAGTAAGCAGGAGGAATGTTCTCCCCCAATATATTATTGTAGATCTTAAACAATGAATAACACATCTTTGAAGGGATAGTTCACCCAAAAAAGACAATTCTGACATTCATTACTCACCTTATGTCATTTCAAACCCGTAAGACCTTCGTTCATCTTTTAAACACAAATTAATTCATTTTTTATGAAATCCGAGAGCTTTCTGACCCTCCATAGACCGCAATGCAACTGACACGTTCAAGGCCCAGAAAGGAACATGAGGACGTCATTAAAATGGTCCATGTGACAAAAGTGGGTTAACCGTAATGTTAACGCAAAGTAACCTTACTACCTTTCTGGGCCTTGAATGTGTGAGTTGCATTGCTGTCTATGCAGTGCCAGAAAGCTCTCAAATTTCATCAAAAATATCTTAATTTGTGTTCCGAAGATGAACGAAGGTCTTACGGGTTTGGAACGACATGAGAGTGCATAAATAATGACAGAATCTTCATTTTTGGGTGAACTATCCCTTTAACTTATTTTTTATATGTAGAATGTTATTAAAAAAAACATGTGAAACAAGATCATAAACTGAAGTGACCTCTTTGAGACCTTTGATTTCTGTAGGTGTTTAATAAGGAGCAGCAGGATTGTTCACATTAGCCTGCAGATATGTGAATGAAAGGGGAAGGAGAGTTGAAGGAGAGTGGAGATTCCAGTACTACTGCAGTGCTCATGAATAAATATGAGTAGATATGAATATGCATTAGAACATTAAATCAGCAGGCAATGACGAGATTTGGCAATATATGAGCGTGTTTGCACCTCGAGTCAAACGGAGCGGGACATTGATGATGAGAAGAACGGAAAGCGCGAAGAAGATGCTGAAAGTCAAATGGGAAAGAAAAACAAACATTTGGCATGCTCACAGTTCTCCTTCCCAACTGATGTGAGACAAAGAAGTTATTCAAATGACCATGAACAAAAGTCTTTTTACATCTTTTTTTTTTTTTTTTTTTCTCCATTTATACAGTGTTGCATAAAAAGCAGCAGGACATACAGAAGCTCTTGCTGCCATCCGTAGTCTCTCCATCTATCCTTTAAAACACATTCATATTCTCTCACACTCGCAAAAACAGTCTTTGCCTAAATCTTGTTCACTCGCCAGTGTGTGTTGTTCAGCATTTAACAGGGTTGTGCTGTGCTATTGTGTTTGTTAGCTGTTTAAATCTGTATTGTGTTTGTGTTCTATACGTTTATTGACTAGGTTGTTGGTGATATGTCGATGATTTGAGCATCTGTATCCATGTTCGTGTGTGTTTTCACAGTCAAAGATTTCCGCATATACTGCATTGGTCTTAATACGTCTATGTTTATATACTATCTGTTTCAGGATGTGTAAATGTGCGCATTTGTCAGTCTTAAACAGTTCTGTCTGCACCGGAGCGTTTGCGAACCACCTGCTCCCCATTGACCTGGTCCACGGCGAGGGTCTCCACTTCCGGCTGTTGCCGAGCCGCACCTCCACCTGCTGAGGGCGAGCGGTGGATCCGCTGTGCCACTCCTATATGTGCGTTAGCACGGGGATGGGCTCCCTCCCATGCTGGACTTGGGGGCACTGGGATGTGGGTGGGGCTTGATGGTGCAGGAGGTGTGGTCGAAGAAGCGATGGGCGGGATTACAGAGGGGCGTTCCCGCAGCACCGGCTGAGACTCTATGGGGGCCGCGGGCTCTCTGGCTTGCAGGAACGGTGTGGGATCTGGCATGGCATCTACCGAATCCCTCAGTACCAACCTTCGGCCATCTGTGGCGCCCAACCGGTACAGCTCCGTGTATTCAGAGTGCAGCGGCTGCGAAAGACTTTTGCGCATGCGTCTGCGAGGGGTCTCGGGTTGCCGGACGTCTTTGTCATTTCCCGAGGCCACAGGAGCGGGAGGAGGGGTGGGTTTGAAAGAGCCGATGGGGCTGACGGAGGGGCTAATACCCGCAGCTCCCCCGGCGAGAAGGCGTTTTTTGGTAGCGTGGAGCTGGGAGGTGAGGTAGGCAATGGTGCTGGCTCTCTGCTCCAGCTCTCCAGACAGGACAGCCAACTTATGGCTCTTCAACTTCAGCTCATCCAGGTACTTCTTCTCTCGCTCACGGATGGTGTTCTCCAACACCGAGATCATGGCGTTCTTCTGCTCCAGATCTCGCAGGAGCTCCGTGTTCTCCTGCTCTTTAGCCTTGAGCTGAGCCTCCAGCTCCTCACAGCGCTGGTGCAGCTCTCTGCAACGAGCCTCACCATCACCTGAGAGAAAACAAGATGTTAGGTACAAACATGTAAAAGGATGCTACAAACAAATATAAATTTTATTCCAGGGCTCTTCAACTCCAGTCCTGGAGGGCCAGTGTCCTGCTGAGTTTAGTCTCACGTAGCCAGACCTTCAGAGAGTCTGAGAACCTTGGCCACTTTTAATGGCCAAGGACCGCCGAAGAGGATATATGACTGACAGATAAAGCAACTAATCACGTTTCGTTTTGTGCCGCGTCATGTTTAGGGGGGAGGAAGTGTTGCCACAATAACAGACTGGTGTGTAAAATGGATGTATTTCAGAGAGTCCATGTCGCGTACTTTACATATTTCACATAATTTTAAACATACAGCATTTAGTTGATCCTGATAAGTGCTCATTAGCTGTGTTTCCATTACCCTTCAAATTTCGCAAATTGAAATTGCGGATTGAAAATACACCTAATGGAAACCCGTAAATTTCGCAAAAACTCTCATATATTACAAATAAGTTGTTATGCTCACATGATGAGGTTTTTCAGGCAATTCTAAAATGGAATACATCGCAAAACTGCAATGGAAATTTTTTTTCATATTTATAACATGGCATACGTAAAACTCGTATACGTAAAAATTGGGATTGTACTAACGTCTGCATGACACTGGCCCTCCAGGACTGGAGTTGCAGAACCTTTTACTAGTACCGTCATTTGTAATCAGCATTTTAAGATTCTTTTCTCTAGTCAGTGCTATTTGTGTGCCACACGAGTTAATGCCTATGCAGTGTTTTTTAACTGATCACTTGTAAGTAATGATGATTATGCTTCCTTAGAGGACATAAGGAAGCTGTCTATCTAGGAAGAGAAGCGTTTCACTAGGTTTTGGAATAAAGCTATTAATAAGTACAATGTCTGAAATATAATAGGTTTACATAAAGACATTCTGCAAACTGACAAAAACATTAGCCTGCAGAGGGCAGCAGTGAACTGTGAATAAACCAATTACCCCTGCAGAACTAATGGCTATGGAACATCAAACTCTTTCCTATACAGGAACACTCCACTCCTCCCTTAAGATCTGATGTTAAGCTTTTGACAAACATCATTTGTTGTATTATGGGAACAGCTCGTTTAGCTTAGCTCAGCATAGATATTATTGATTTCTACATAAATTTAGCTAGATAAACGCATTGTAATTGCATGGATAATTCTGAACCATCTTACTGAAAATCATCATTAAAAAAAATTAACATGGGTTATGTCTGTCTTATAAATGTCTAAGATTGTTAAAGACATGCATTTAGCAGCCAAATAGGGTGGGGCTGAGACGGACACCTCGGAGAGACACTCCACAAACATAAGGAGAGGGAGTGAAAGGCAGACACACAGAGACAGAGGATCCTATCTCCCGTTACACTGCTAATGGATGTGAAGGTTGGGGGAATAGCAATGCCCCTCTTTATTGACCTTCAGCTTTGCAACAGCCTAAACAATGGCACGCAAGGGAAGATTTGCCTCTCTCTCTCGCTCTCTCACACTTTCTTGCTTTCTCTCAGTTTAAATTTATCGTGCTTCACTGGCATGACAAAAGACAAAAAGCAAACATCTGTAACTGCCAAAGCAATAAAATAAAAAATATAAATAAAGAAAGAACAGTATAGTAGTATATAGAGTAAACTCCCTCTTTATTGACCTTCAGCTTTGCAACAGCCTAAACAATGGCACGCAAGGGAAGATTTGCCTCTCTCTCTCGCTCTCTCACACTTTCTTGCTTTCTCTCAGTTTAAATTTATCGTGCTTCACTGGCATGACAAAAGACAAAAAGCAAACATCTATAACTGCCAAAGCAATAAAATAAAAAATATAAATAAAGAAAGAACAGTATAGTAGTATATAGAGTAAACCAGAAATTTAACAAATGCAATTTTAGCAAATTTTAAAATAAAATCTGAAAAGTTTATCCAATTAATCAGAAAAATGCTGCAAATTTAAATTAGTGCAAGCAAATAAAGTGAAACAACAACTTAATAGACAAAATGGCATATAAAAGTAGCATTAACAAAACAAAATAAAAGAAATGTCCTTTAATGTCAGATTTACATATTGAAGTTATCCGGTACACTTCATCTGAGATAATGAGGGTTTCAGTTCTGTGTGATCTCTCTAATAGTTATTAAAATAGACATGCAGAATGAGCTCATGTTGGAGACCGACTCACACTCTCTCTCACTTTCCCTGACCGCTTCATTACCACTTAGCAATGGCCACACCAGATAATCATCAAATTCACACACAAACCCAGTTGGACAGCCATAATACATCCACGAAACACACTCCAGCACAGTCATCTGAGGTCAAAGCGACAGCTTCAGCATGAGAGTGCTTACATGTGAAACTATGATAAGTATACTTCATTCTTCACAATGCTAATTATCACATGTGTCACGGTAGAGTGACAACAGATGTCTAATCAGCGATTGGTGGTGTAATCATTTGTTACGGACATGTAGTTTAATGAGAATGAACCATCTGCTGTTACGCCAGTCGAGAGAAAGTGCTGTTTTAAATTGGAAGAGAAATAATCTCTATTATTATGTGATGGCTGGATTAAGAATGATGCTTGATCTTTGAAATGAGAGGAACATGTGATTCTCATTTGATTCTCTCATGTCATTTGACATAAAACCAAGTGTTTTGATGTATGGCAGTAGTGCTGGTCTGAAATATCATGGCTTTTGTTAGGAACATGAGCGTGGGGATGTAGTCAGCAGGTTGCAGATGATGCATTAGCCGTTTGCATTAGTGCTGTATTAGCGTAGTCATTCATAATCTCATTTCCTGTGCTAGACACGAATCTGGCTCACATCAGCCACATGCGCAAACACAAACAACAGCCTGTCCAACCATACAGACACTAAACAAATGTGAAACTAATTTATTATACACAGCTCTCTGAAATACTTGATTCTGACTAGTCAACTCCAGAAATATAATCTGCAGATTAATCATATTAATCTTAAACTAAATATTGTGATATTGTTACAGTGTTTGTTATGGTGTTTTCTTTCTGTTATTTTATTATTTAATTAAAAATTTTTTGTTTATTATTTTTGTGAGATAATACAGTAATTTCAACTCCAAAATCAATAGTTCATGTATTTAATTGTTGTACTTGTTTAATAAAGAGGATAATGTACAGTCTTTATCATGTAAAAAACTCTCAAAGTCTCAAAGCCTTCACTTTTTTGCCTGGAAACTGCATGTCTGTGGGAACTGCGTTGAGCATTCAGATGCCTAAATGTTATCAATGTATGTTTGTGCGGAGACTGAAAGGCCAACATATATTAAACAGAGTGAAATTGAAAGGTGTGAGAGGGAAATGGCAGGCCCTGTGGGCAGCAGGGGGTCTGTCTGTCTGTCTGTCTGTCTGTGTGTGTGTGTGTGTGTGTGTGCTTGCTGGGTGGGTCGCTGGTTGCCAGGTTACAAGGCACGACCATGGTGGTATATGTGCGAAGAGGGAAATAAAGTCTTATTTACAACCTGCTGCAAAGAGGGAGCAATACAGTGGCAGATGAATAAAGAGACTGCCAGACAAAACAAGAAACAATGTTTTCATTTGACCTTCCTCCTGCTGTTTGCATGTCCATCTGTCTGTGCATCTACCAGGCTGTTAAGAGATTTCTTTTAACAGGTGAACGTGTGGATGACAAGCACTTTGACAGCATCTTAGCAACACCTGACACACACACAGCCGCCTTGCATAAGCATTTTGTTCTGAGTGTGAATGCAGCCACATATAAAGCATGCGTGAGAAATCTTACCGCCTGGATCAGAACTCCGCATTGTCAGCTCATATGTCAGGTCTGTGAAACAAAAGAGAGGACAGAAGGAGTGTACAGGACGACAAAGGGAGGAGTGTGAGAGAGAGAGAGAGATCAAATGTTAGGCTGGCAGCACAGAACATCACACTACCTTAAATGACAACAGTTGAAGATCACATGACACAAGACATCACCTGAAACAGGAGGAGATCAAGAGAGTGAGAGCAAAAACAGAAACAGTAACACAAGCGAGAGTCAACCAAGGATAAAAGAGCATGTGGAAGTCAGTGGGACAATACAAACAACATGAAACTTCAAATTCTGTAGTTGATGAGTTCGGAGTTGTTTTTTGTTTTGTTTTGTACTTCAATGAACTGCAAACAATAAGACCAGTATTTCATGTTGTTTTGTTTAGTTGTTTTGCTTTACTTTGCATTTTTGCTAGGCTATTTTGTTTTGTGGTTTTGTTTTTACTTTGCTCTTTGGCTTTGCTATTTTTTGTTTGTTTTGTTTTGGTGATTTGTTTTGTTTTGTTTTGCTTTGCTTTTTGGCTGTGATGTTTTGTTTAGTGCTTTGATTTGTGCAATTATGAATCACACACACAATAATAGCACAACGATTTCACTTAAAAAACTGTACTTAAAGAATGGCTTCTTTGGAGTGAAGCAGCGTTAAGGCCTTTTCACACTAAACGCGAAAATTCTGTTCTCAGATACCAATGATAACAAGAACTCAGCATCCTCTTCTCTCTGAAGAATTTTTAGGTATAATATATCACAGTTTAGTTTATTTTGCTATCCTCACTTTACATAAATGAACTATAGTGTCCTACACCCACTAGCAAAAACATACCAAAAATTATATCTGGTCTCAGAAGGATATACAGTCAAACCAAAAATCATTCAGTTATTTACACACTTAATTATCCCCATTAAAATGTATTTTACAAGTTTTTGTTACGGAAGTTATTACAAGCACTCGATGATGGTTTAAAGTGGGTTTTAAGCAAAAACATTAATAATAACATTACATTTTCTAATGTGGCTTGATGCTAATTGTACTTCTATTTATATTTCAAGATGTTTTCTTGTAAGCATTATAGATAGTTTGTGTTTCTGGTGCAGAACCAAACTTTATTTATCTTAATTTAATGCTATATACTGAGCAGTGGACAATATACGAGATACATATCTAAGGAAAAATGCATTGTTGGCCGGCACCACCTAGCATGCAGGCGTGAATTAGCAGAAGGCGATCAAATGTTTCACGCTTGGTGTGAAAGCACCATTCGTCATCGATTCGCCTTGCTTTTTCGCATCGTGCTCAGTTTGAAACAGCATTTAGATGAGGATTGAGCTGTCTAGAATGAGATTAACTTTATTCTCACAATCCTATACAATAATCCCTGTGGCACCGTTTTACTCAGTGTAGAGAAGTGACTCTCATTTCCAGTCAATTTTTAATTATCCTCTGAAAAGTGGCAAAAATACAAAAATAAAATAAAAACAATACTAGATTAACTAAATAAAATAATAGTAAATGCACTAAAACTGGCAATAATTTTTCTTCATCACTCAGCAAAAATAATTTACATAAGCAAGTAATTATAATGAGAATTTGAGCCATTTTTTTCATGATTATTATGCTTCATTTACTGTAGACATTTTACAAATGAATAATGTATGTTTATGGATGCTTGCTTAAGTGCAGTTTTGCTGTAAGTGGCAGTCACTACATGATGCCCAGTGTATTGGCATGTGTGTGTATGCGTGTACCTGTGCAGTGCTGTTGTAGACGGCGGATCTCAGCATGTAGGCCTTTCAATGTGTTGGCATGGTCTTGTTGCAGGAACAGCAGGTTTTTCTGTGCGCTGTGCAGTTGATTCTCCAAGGTCACACTCACCGAGGCCATGCTGATGATGGTACAGGGTCACACTCACATGTATAAATAAACTCACTCTCTCACACCTGCACACACACTAGCCCAGGAGACCTGAAAACACAAGAAAAGAAAATACTGGTCAGATATATAGAATATTCAGCCTTCTGGCAGTTATCACTCACTATAGCTAAAAGTTCCATTAGTCAATTACACACCTAGCTCCAAGGTTATTGGAGGACGTTTTACAAGAAATTAATATTTCAGTCTTTCTACTTCAAAATTTCTCGGTTAATTTAACGTGTTACTTGCTGTTTGTGACATTTACTAGCAATTTCTGAATGAAATTTGTTTCTGCACCAAATATGTTTTTAGTGAAGCTGGCTGATTATAAAATTCTATACTATTTTTTAGGGATGCACCGATACCACTTTTTCCAGTACTCGCCCGATACCGATACTTTTATTTTTGGTACTTGCCGATACAGAGTACCGATACCAATATTTTTCATTGCATTTGTACATTTTTTAAATATTGGGTACAGAAACCAAAAGAGTATGTATAATGTTAGTTGGTTAACTTCATTTATCAAATAGATAGTCAAACCAAAATGTATTCAGACACCTTCAACATTTCTCACATTATCACAGTTTATTCGCTATAGTTTAGAAAATGGTAATAAAATATGACAAGAACTCAGAGTTAAACTGTGTCAGAACAAATTCATCTTAATAATGTCAGATAACTTTGATAGAAAGGTATGTAATAGATTACAATCAACCAAACATTATTCATACAGTTGTCAATATTTACACAACTATCAATACTTTGTCGGGTGACCCTTAGCCTCAATGACAGCCTGTAGTCTCCTGGGCATGCTGTCAACCAGGTTCAACTTAAATTTTTTCCCAGACTCGGTCTGAATAATTTTTGGTCCCAAATTTTTATCAATTTTACTGGTAGTCCACTGTATGAAGAATTTTTAGGTATAATATATCACAGTTTAGTTTATTTTGCTATCCTCACTTTACATAAATGAACTATAGTGTCCTACACCCACTAGCAAAAACATACCAAAAATTATATCTGGTCTCAGAAGGATATACAGTCAAACCAAAAATCATTCAGTTATTTACACACTTAATTATCCCCATTAAAATGTATTTTACAAGTTTTTGTTACTTTCACTGTTATTCACTGTTTCACTATTATTTCAAGATAATATTTTAGGACATCATCCAATTCAGATCTGACAGGTACTGTAATAGGGACATTTTCTGAGTGTCATTCCATTAAAAAATATATTTTTTAAATATATATATTTAATTAAACCTCTTCTGAGACATCAACATCAGGATATCTGCTACTCTGCAATTCCCAGAGTACATGACAAAATACATCTTTAAAGTAATTCAATATTACACCAAAATCACTCTTCCTACAGGCATGTGAGGTCACAATTCACCAGCAGCGAAATATAGATGTGACTGTGTTTGTGTAATCAGGACAAGCTTCTATAAAAGTGCGCATGTGAAGTCAGTGCTGGATAAAACTACACTCACATGAGATGTTTACAATGGAGTCACAGCCACATAGTGAGGTCAGGAGACAGTCATGCAGTACTTACACAAACACAAACACATTACTGCAATTAAAATGTTTACTTTGGATATCACTATCCCTTCCCCGAATCAACGTCCCTCTGTCTGAGAGGACAAAGAGCTATATTTATCTAATGACAGCATAATGGTTTGACATTACGTAATGCATTTCAGATGAGGCAGAGAAGCCAGGGAGAGTCTGTAGATACGGTATGTGGGAGTATTGATTTAAGGGGGTGAACGCTGGGCTGGTTTCCACAGACCCTGCACTGCTTAGGGATCATCCCTCATCCCAAAGCACTCTTAAAGAGGTCATATCATACATATATCATTTTTTCCCCTTGATGTTTTCTGATCCACTTAAAATTTAAGTAGGGCTGGGTGATATATTGAATATTCATGGTATAATCGCAATGATTGTGCTGGTGAATGAAATTGAGCAATATTTTAATTATCAATGATATAGTGTGCTTTTTATCTAACCATTATAGTTTGCTTTTCATCCAGCCATTAATTTTCAGTGAATTTATTTTCCAAAGCCACTCATATAATGCAGAAACATTCATGAAGCAAGCAACACGCGCGCACGTATTTGTACTGGTGCAGAATGAGAGGACAGTAGCACAGCCTAGCACATTTCACACAGGCTGCTAGTTTCACTTTCGCCAGAAAGTCGTGTATGCTTAAGGGTGAAAATAAATGACGTTTATAGTGAATGCCCCTATAAATTGTCTTATATTTGCGATTTAGTTTTAATCCAAATGATGTGTGTGCTAAGTGAGCGAACATCAATAAAGATCACACAACAGAAGTGCGCACTCTCTCTCTCCCTCCCTCCCTCCCTAGCAACCATTAAGTAACTTGTGCATTGTTTTACTAATTACTTACTTCTTTTTGACATATCCGACTGAACTACAAACTTTCCAGTGATGTCTGTGAGAAAGATATATTCACTCGATAAGCTCACGCATCTGCGCCGCCGCGCGCTCAATCCACTCAGCCGTGCTTTGTTTATCAGCTCGCGCACATCAGCTATACAGGCGTTAATACTGAAAGTTTAATTGGTATCGGGGCATTTTAACGAGTACAATTACGAGTACAAGAGCGCAGCATCGGGCCCGTATCCCTACTATTTTTTAAACAAGTAAATATTAAAATAATTTAAATAATATTTTAAATAAATAATAATATTCTTATTTTATATACTAAAAATGCTAAAAATAAAACACCACAAACTAATTTTTTAGATAAAATATGCGATTTTCCAAAGCAGTGTTACTACATTATTAAATTACATTAAAATTGTATGTGTGCATATAACTGTTATGAATAATACTGATAAGAAAAAAGATCTAATTACCACAAACTAATACAGTCTATAGTAAATTCCATCGTTATCAAGCACAACAGAAGTAAAATATTATTCTCATATGAAACACATAAAACGTTTGACACAAAAAGCACCTCAAATGTCTTTTTATCTAAAAGTCAAATTTTTGCAGTTTACAGATTCAGTGCTGCCACAGACACAAGTGTATTAGTGAGTGAGTGACGTGAAATGTGGCCAAGTATGGTGACCCATACTCCGAATTAGTGCTCTGCATTTACCCATCCAAAGTGCACACACACAGCAGTGAACACACACAAACCGTGAACACACACCCGGAGCAGTGGGCAGCCATTTTTGCTGCGGTGCCCGGGGAGCAGTTGGGGGTTCGGTGTCTTGCTCAAGGGCACCTCAGTCGTGGTATTGAAGGTGGAAGAGAGCGCTGTACATTCACTTCCCCCCACCTACAATCCCTGCCGGTACGAGACTCGAACCCACTGACAGGTACTGTAATAGGGACATTTTCTGAGTGTCATTCCATTAAAAAATATATTTTTTAAATATATATATTTAATTAAACCTCTTCTGAGACATCAACATCAGGATATCTGCTACTCTGCAATTCCCAGAGTACATGACAAAATACATCTTTAAAGTAATTCAATATTACACCAAAATCACTCTTCCTACAGGCATGTGAGGTCACAATTCACCAGCAGCGAAATATAGATGTGACTGTGTTTGTGTAATCAGGACAAGCTTCTATAAAAGTGCGCATGTGAAGTCAGTGCTGGATAAAACTACACTCACATGAGATGTTTACAATGGAGTCACAGCCACATAGTGAGGTCAGGAGACAGTCATGCAGTACTTACACAAACACAAACACATTACTGCAATTAAAATGTTTACTTTGGATATCACTATCCCTTCCCCGAATCAACGTCCCTCTGTCTGAGAGGACAAAGAGCTATATTTATCTAATGACAGCATAATGGTTTGACATTACGTAATGCATTTCAGATGAGGCAGAGAAGCCAGGGAGAGTCTGTAGATACGGTATGTGGGAGTATTGATTTAAGGGGGTGAACGCTGGGCTGGTTTCCACAGACCCTGCACTGCTTAGGGATCATCCCTCATCCCAAAGCACTCTTAAAGAGGTCATATCATACATATATCATTTTTTCCCCTTGATGTTTTCTGATCCACTTAAAATTTAAGTAGGGCTGGGTGATATATTGAATATTCATGGTATAATCGCAATGATTGTGCTGGTGAATGAAATTGAGCAATATTTTAATTATCAATGATATAGTGTGCTTTTTATCTAACCATTATAGTTTGCTTTTCATCCAGCCATTAATTTTCAGTGATTAGTCTTTGATTCTGTCTTGTCTCTCACGTATGGAAGTGTGGAAATATGTTTTAATAGCATCATTTAAAGTAAAACAGTATTTGATTGATAAAGTTGGTTCAAATTATTCATTTTAACGAATCAATTCAGTTCTGATTCAAGTTCTGCCTCAATCATCACTCTAACGTGTTCACAGGTATCTCTATATTGTATTTTTCATATATTACAATTTATAATTATCAATATAAAACATACAGTATGCAAACTACTGCTCAAAAGTTTTGGGGTCAGTTAGATTATTAATATTTTTAAAAAGAAATTAATACTTTTATTCAAAAGTGACAAAGACTTTTACAGCATCATAAAACATTTATCTACAAATAAATGCTGTTATTTTGAAGTTTATTTCATCAAGGAATCCTGAAAAATGTATCACCGTTTCCACAAAAACTGTTTTCAACACCTAATGCAAAAAATTTCTCAGTGAGCATAAGAGTCTTTATTAAATAGATAAATCTTATACCGATTCCAGATTTTGAATGGTAGCGTACATTACATAAATACAGTTTTTTATTACTTTATATAATGGTGCATATAAATTGAAGAGAGTAGACTAAAAGTGCATTTTCCTTGTGCTCGTTTAGACAAACTGTGCTGAAGTATATCAAAAACATGCCGTGATTATTTTCAATCATTTTTGCTGCTGTGACTTTAAGACTTTCATGCAAATCCTCTGGTCATGCAATTTTGATGAGTACCTTAGTTTAAATAAAGGATATTTTAAGACGGGCAGTTTTGAGTTTCAAGTTTTGAGTTCTGAAAGTAGATCAAG